TCCCTATATAGTACTATTTTAATTTGGCAGTTTCCATTTCCTTTTCGATTATATATCCCTATGTAGTCCCGATTACTTTTAAGAGTCCCATGACAAGATTGAACAGGTTTTATGGCCCGGGGACAAATCTGGGCGTCGCTTCAATTCAAGTCATGGTCTGTTGGGGCCTCTCCCGGCCATCTCAGAATCCTACTTCCGGAGACAGCTTGCATGCGCGAGAAGCGGTTAGCACCACGATCTTGACAAGTCTGATGGCCAGCAGCCAGCAGCATCAATCTTTGAGCCCTCAATCCCTAACTCCGCAAGACCTAAAATGAGCCGTAAGGCCCTTCAATCCCAAACCCTCTGCCCAAATCCCCAAGGGTAAGTAGTTGCTTCCTGCCATTAAGTTTCTGGGGGCAAGTTGCTTCACCATTCTAACTGCTGCAAATTCCAAGGATCTGCAAAAGATTCTGCCAAGAGTCGCTGAGTTCTTAGTAGGGAATACGCCAGTATGATCCGTATATAATCCCTATATATTGCACTCCATTATTCCCTACTAAACACCGGTAAGAAACAACAGAGTCAATGGCATGGAGTATGCCGCTCAGAGTCCTTCCGGCTTTTAACTTCAGGTGTGAGACGGGAATTTGAGCATTCGACCTTATGCAACAGAGGATCCTCTAGTGCCAGACCATGAAGGCCGCTTCTCAAAGTTCAGTTTCCCTTTTTGCGGTCATAGTTGCGGTTCTGTGTGTGTTTCGGGTACTCCAATTCAGCACGGGTCAGAACTCGTTACTCTTCTTAACATGAACTCATCTAAATCCTGTAGCTGCTAACCCTAAGACTTCCTGGCTGTAGATTTCCCAGCTCATGTTTGGAAGCGGTCTAGGTTGATGGGAGTTTAATTAAATGAGACATCCTTCAGAAAGTCTTTTAAGGGCTGTACACACGAATGCATACACAGATGTTTATGTATGTATGTGGATACGGGCTATGTTTCCACGTCCACTGCACGAGTCTGGAAAGTAGTACCCTGACAGAGAAAGAGTTACGAGTAAGGCACAATGAACGTGTCAAACTCAAAAACCAAAGGTTACACTCCCACAAAACCCTGAACCCTAAACCCGAAATCTGGGACTCTGCGGCAACCAGGCTCTCCTGGAGCAGGAGGGCACGGACACTCGGTAGTTCCTGCCTGGTTTACTGCATGCAGCTAGTATTGTCCTTCAAGCAAACATTGAACTGCATATCTCTTCAATATCTTAATATCGGCCGTTTCAAAGGATGGGAGTCTTTGCTGCGTCTTTTCAGGTTCCTCGCTTGCTTCGGAAGTTTAGAATATGTTACTTTTAATTGTACCGCATAAGACGTATAGAATGAACACGTTCGATATTGAGATGGTCTTGCGTCATTGGCAGCTAAACGATTGCACGTTTCGGATGTCGGTGATGTTAGCTTGCAAGCGATCCTTCTGTCATGTTCTGAGTTTCAAGTGCAGCCCAACATAGACAAGATGGTTGGAATTTGAGCCATGTAGAGACAACTTGCGCCCTCAGCACACTGGTCTTTGGGGCGGAAGGTGTTGAGTCAACATGAGTCAGTACATGAAGCTTGAAGTCCCCCCAACCCGATACTGCGGTGTATACTGTACCCCAGAAGCTCTCAACCCTTCATCAGACATTGTAGCACAGTGATCCTCAAGACTGCCTGCATTTGGACCTGTCGCATCTTCCTTTGCGGATCTTTGTAAATTTCATGTTTTTCGTTAGGGAATCCGTATAAGAAGGGCCCGGAGGACCTGAATTTGGGGGGAATACCCATGTCACTTCACCTTCCCCATGTGCACCTTGGTCGGCCCGCGCCTCCGCACATCTTCCCTACGACTCTGCAGTCATCGGCAGGAGGAGGCCATGAGGGGACATGGCCAAGTCCATACTTGGTTGTGGGTATACCTGTAGCTACAGGGCTTACATATGCCTACTGTGGACTCTGGACATCTCTGGACTAGATTGATAAAGTTGTTGGGGTGTCCGATTGTTTCATCGTTTTGTATGGAAAAAGTGCTAGGCCCGACACAAATGACCCCAGCCTCTGTCCAGTTAGTTAAGCCGCTAAGCCTCTGTGATTCTTGTGCTTGACAAATATTTAAGGTTGTCTGGACAGCATTTGTTCTTCTGGTCAGTCGTAGCGTGTTTCTTGCTGGGAGTACGGCCTCTTGTAGATGCCTCTAATCTTGTGGGTTCCAGTTCACAGACTCCCAGCGGAAGAGGCTGAAAGTCGAAAGCCCCCCAAGTGACCTATCGGATTGGAGACTGCAAGACGTGGCCTTCCGCTGTAGAGACGAGGCGCCGCGTCCTCCATGCCGGGCAACAATTCTGCGAGTTGGCGGCCGCACCAGGGACCAGATCAGAGGCCCTGACAGAGACTTGGAGCCTGGCATGAGATCTACCTGGGTGGTTCCAACAGCTAGGGGCCAGAGGCCGCTTGTTGAAAGTCCTAATAGGTACATTGTTATTTGGATGCCCCATATTTATGGAAGCGCCACCCATGCATACTCAGCGGAGGGCTGCTCGTAAGATGAATCATGAAAGCGAGCATGACTGACAGGTGAGCGTGGACCTGGCCCACCTCTGTGGCAGTCTTTGCTGTGGCAGTGGGAAGAGGCCAAAAAGCTTTGGTGTTCTCTGATTGGCGCACTGGACTTTGGATTACAGCTAACCTCGCAAACGCTGCGCGGGTGTACAGCGCAACGTGTTGCGATTGCAAGTTCCCCTGCCTTACCCACCGAGAGCTGACGTGCTGGCGACATTCCGTCGAGTCGGCTTTCCAGACACACCGTTGGCCGGGTGTGGGGCGGATCCATGTGTGCTTCGTCAGTCACCATTGGGGCCAACTCTCCCAACGGCACTGGGAGTATGACAGCAGGGCGATGGGCTAACGCGTCTGCTGGTGGTGACTTACTCGCAGGCTCCCTGGATTACAGGGCGCACCAGCGTGTAGGGCATGGTGCTGCAGGGGAGGCCACTTGTTGGGGCATGGTGTTGGGCCACGGCCCTTGAATCTGTTGAACTAGTTTGCAGTAGTGGTTACAAGTAGCGTGATTGTGGGAAGGTGTCGCGCTAGAAGGAATATGGCTTCATCGAACGTACTACGCTGGCCTGGTGCATGGCCACTTGTCGCAAGCTGATTATGTGAGTACCATGATTGTGGCAAGGTGCAGTGATGGGCTCGACCCTATTACAGCTAACGATCTCACCCTTGCCTTCCGAACCCATGTTGTGCTTTCACTGGAAGCCAGGCGTTGAACTGGTGCATTGCCCTTCTTGTTTGGGCTTTGCGCCGGGCAGGCCGATCTCCAGCAGGCAAGAAATACAGGCAGCGGGGGAGCATGAAGACTTGTGGTGTCAATGATCCGGGGCTTCCACAGGTGCAACCGAGAAGAGTGTGAATTCTTCCACGATCATTTCCTCCCAAAAGAGGGTCTGCCCGAATTGCGGGCGCTGAGCTCTTCACAGCACTTGTTTCTCTCAGGCTTGTCAGCTGGCTGGGATCAGAATCTTACTGGAGGCTTAGTACGGAATAACAAGCTTATATATGATGTAATGATTATAGAGGGATTATGGGAATCATGTAACAAGGTTATATATGATATAAGGATTATAGAGGGTTTATAGTCCCTTTTTCCCTACTAACCACCACTAAGGAACAGGTGTTCGAGGTTTGCTGTGTCTCTGTAGACGGCCTTGACAGGGAGTCTCAGCATATAGTCCCCCTTAAGTAGATAGAATATGGCTTTGGGTTCATCATAATAAGATCCCACTATACCCCGTATTCTATCTACTTAAGGCCGACATTTATTCACTGGGATTTCAGTTTTGATCCCAAATCAAAGCTGGTTATCTTCCGTGTTCATATGTTTGTTGTTTTTCTTGTTGAATGAAAGGTCGCAGCATGCTGCCCTCCAAGCAGAACTGAGCTCCTAAAATCCAAAAAATCGATGGTGATGGAGGAGATCTTGCATGACCCTAAGTGCAGTCAAGATGGAAACGCAATGCCTGAGGCACATTCATCAATAGTATCGGAAGCTGTTGGAAGGGCCACACGTGGCCGCACAGACTCCTCTACCAGTTGGGGCTCCACATGTGACTTTCAGATGCTGTCGGCTTCCTTCCAGCGGATTAGAAATGACTAGAAGCAACCTGATTAGTACTTGATTCCTTGCATTCAGGCTGCAGGCTACTGTTCAGATCGTAGGCATGTAGAGTATTGACAACTGCTAGAATCTGCTAGAACTTCCTGCATTGTCCATGAGATCTCTGGGCACGCTTGCCAGGACAGTCCGTGTAGATGTCCAGAGCTTCAACGCACGCTGCTCGGCAAGCAAGCCGAAGAGAGTTTCAAAGATGAGTAGCCGTGCCTCGCAATCAGCAGTTTTGACATTTGGGGCATACCTTTTGTAGATGTATCCGCCAGTTCTTTACGCAAGGATGACAACTTGACAAATACATCCCCAGCACGAAAGTTTCGACATACGAAGCTGCATCTTACAGCCATAGATAGACCGCGGAGAAATTAACAGGGTAGGAGGTCCATTTTACGTGGCCAGTGTGGTGGTGTACTTAGTTTTCGGGAAGAAACGTGGACTATTATAAAGTTCCCAGCAGAGAGTCTGTGCTAGGAGTCTAGGGAAAAGGGGTTGCCATTGCCTTGGACATGTCATCTTTCAACTCGTGTGGCGAACTTTTGTCCTGCCGCAGTAATGGCGATGTAGCTTCTGCCAACGCCTGAACCCCAGTTGGTGGCTCAGCACCCCTGCAAGTAGCAGTGAACAGCAGCACTCTTTGCAATGCCCATGCAATGGTTGGCATCGCCAGACGTACAACATGCTGTGCAGCTTGAACACATCCCATCAAAATGGCAGAAGCTTGCATGCACAATTTCCAGGGACAAGCCAACCTTGAGTCGGACTGCCACGACGGCAGACAAAAAAATTATTCAGCACGTTTGGGCAGCTGTCAGCGTTAAGCGGCCCTGCTTTTAACCCACGCATGCAGCCACATTATCCGACAAGTGCAAGTTGTTTGAGGACAGTTCTCAAAGTCCGGCCCAGAGTTTGTGCGGGCTATCAAAGTAGAACTAGGTGACTCCAGGTCAACCAACTAGAGGAGGTGATATGTCACATGTTGGGATGTGCCGAATAACAGACCTCATATGTGGGGCTTGCCATAAGTTGGGGGTCCCTTTTGCAGGGTTCCAGAATAAGGATCACAAGGTATCGGGGTCTACATGGAGGCTTCCATGTATCAACATCTTTGGATTTTGAGCTGGATTTCTTTGCAAGCTGCGCTTGCAGTCCATTATTGCCTGTAAGCTTGATCCACAGCAGTGTTTAAGGTATGTAGTGACAAAAAGGACCATGCTTTTGGTACTGTCATGTACTGTCTTCAAATTCGAGTTACACAGGCGGACCCTGATGTTCACCAGGTTAAAGGCCCAGGAGGTTGCAAGGTGACCAATTACCTCAGGAAGGGAAGCTTTTCCGAGCAGGAAACGATGGTGAGGGCTCATGTGATGACAATTGAAACGGTGATGCTGGTGCCCTGTTGTTGCCATCTTTTCGTTTCAAAGCACACACGCATGGCCAGCAGCCAACTTGAGAGCTAAAAAAACATCATTTCATCGCAACTTTCACAAACGATTGCTGAGGCTACAGCCTGCTCAGCTATGCGCTGATGGCCAGCGACGAGAAGAAATCGGCTTCTTTCCGGAGGACACCGGACGGCCTGTTCTAAGGTCCCATTGAACAATATCCAGTCAGTTCTCTAAGGCTCTAAAATGTTAGCAGGTGTATTGAACGACACGATTTGGGACTTGCGACTGAAGAGACGGCACAAATCACTCCACTCAAAGTGTAGAGCGACTGCAGACCCACGTGAAGATGCTGAAAATAGCACGCATAACCAAAGGTTTGACCATGGCAGCCACCCGGCGCGTAGGCCGGTGAACCCGCGTAATTAGCATGGTCGTTCTTAGTGTTGCTGCATGCTTCTACTGCTAACATTGCACTGGGATCAACCTGGCATCCCTGAGCCTGTCGACTAGTACAGTTTCAGGGTCATTTGCAGCACGTCATGGACGCCCAGCTGCTGATAAACCAACTGCAATTTGCCATCCCTCGGTTGGC